TTTGGAAATGTTTTAGTTAAAAACACAAACGTCAGGGGTTGATTTTTAAATGACTGCCTTGCTTTGAAATAGGAAGTGGATTGATTCCCTAAAAGGATTAAAAGTTTTGGTATTGGTATTGTTTTCCTGAATCCATTGCAAACCGTCTTGGTCTTAAGGGAAAATGTTTGGAATCCACAGAGGATAATTCCAGCAGCAAATTATTATCTTAGCTTGATGTTTATCTAACATTCTTTGCACTTAAAATAGATCAATAGTCCAGTGCCCAGTCATAAGACTCATACATATATAGAGATTAGATAGATTTTAATCCCATTATATATCTCTTTAAAAAATCCTATAAACAAATATAACTCCTCCGATTTAAAAAGAGAGAGGGAGAAAGCATCGGATGATGTCACTTCAGACAGCTTTTCCCTGTTCCTATAGTGAAGGAGATTTGAAACTATGGACAGAATTCAGAATTAATTTGCTGGTCACCTTTAAATCTGCTTTTGACATTTTGTTTCATTTCTGAAATGGTGACCCTGTTTTCAGATTCTCAGAATTTTCTCACAGTTATACCATATTCAAATTTTGTGTTCATAACAGCTGTCAAAAAATAACCATTCATGGCTCTGTAATTTATTTTCCATTTCTATTTTCTCAGATCCCCATATCCAAAGAAAAATACTGGAACTAAGCTGTGAGGGCCAGTCTTCCTTTTTAACCACACAGCAGTCATGGATGATGAATTGGTAGATACAAAATGAATAATAATTCTTTTTCTAGCTAGCTATAAGCTCAAAACCTTCTTCAGCGAGTTGAGTGACAAAATACTACTTTACATTGGAAGTAGAATCCTTATCAGTCAGTCCCTTAACAGTAAATGAAAACCTTACTTAATAACAGACATTTGTGAAAGAACTTGTGATCTCCTCGTCTTAGAGCTCCAGCAGTGATTACATAATGTTCTCTGGCTCCTTGGGGTGACTGTATGGTAATCACTGAATTTGACTGCTTGGATTCTGCACAGAATCAGCCTTCCTATGTTTGCCTGGGGCCTTTCCTTGCCTGGTTGGTCGAGAGGATCCAGTTAAGCTAGTTATAGACCAGAACTCCTGCAGAAGAATGTTTTAACACCTCTAAATCTCTTAGACCACAATATCCTGAAGACCATTGTTTCTCAAAATGTGCTCTTAAGTACGCCCTGGAATCATCTGGATTCTGGTTTAAAAATGCAGATTCTACTACCTTATGCCTGCAGAATTCTGATCGCTCCAGTCTGCTGGCTTACGTAACGTGCATTCCAGTACTTTGACACTGCTGCTGTCTTGTGCGATTTCTTTAGCTCTTTTCTCACTGCAGGGTGAGAGACCTCGGAGGAAACAGCTTCACTGCCCCCGTTTCAATCTTGTCTTTTCAGTAGCTGTTAATCCCAGCATCTGGGTCTGTTGATTATATTATCTCACCTAGCTTGCTTGCTTGTGATTCTTTTCCTACATTTCCTCCTTAACTGTTTTCCCCTTCTTCCACCTGTCCCAACTGGCACAGAGCTCTTAGGGGTATAGAACAGCAAAGAGTAGGACCTATATTTTGTGTAACAGAGGTGAATTTGAAAGGATACACATGTGTTATGTTAGAGGCAGCAATTCATTCATTCATGTTTGTGTAGAGACTTTGAACTTTAGGCAATTGTTATATATGCACAAATGTCAAAGATAGTGCTTGATGTCCTGTGTCAGAAGTTCCAGTTTTGTCGTTAACACAAATGCTTCTTGATCTTGGGCTTAAGTTTTTAGATTTCTTTATCTGTAAGATGACAGGGTAGGGCCAGATGGTCTGTAAAGGACTCTTCCAGTTTTAAAATTCTATGAAAATGCTAGAATTACATAATTATATTTGGCAGGAATCAAATTGTTTTAACTGTGAAAAATAACTACCTCCTCACCCTAACCAGACTGTTCCCTCTCTTCCTCCTCATGCTCAGCATGTCATTTCCCTTCTTCATATTAAATAACTGTGGGTCACAGAGAAAGGAGATAGAGGTATTATGTAAAAAGCTAGGTTTTCATTTTGGGTTACCTCACTGTGGAACAGTAGCTGTCAATAACTCTTTGTTTTCATGCCTAATTATGAAATGCCTGTCCCAATATCAGGCCTCAAGAAGCTCAAGTTTGCTTCATAGGTATCCCTGCAAGCTGTTTGCTGATGAAAAGTGTTGCCTCTTTGCTACCTTACGTTGTAGTTGTAGTTGTAGACATCCTTAAAAGGAAGAGGAAAGTAAAGTTCTCGTGGAGGGGAGATGATGGGGCAGGATGGAAGCAGGAGACAGGACGGATGACTAACCCAGTAAGTTCCGAGTTACCATCACTGAATGGCTATTTGGATCCTAGCTCTTTACGCTTTCTGGCATTTCTGTTTACATAAACAGACTGACGGCTTTGGTGATTCAGCTTTTTGATGGTGTTGGTTTGGTGGTGCCCTATTTTTTTGTTTTTGGTGGCGGGGGCAGGGGGAGGAGGAACATAAAATGTGATGACATTTACTGAAATGTTTTGATCTCGAGAGAAGGGATTGGGAGCTTGGTTCCTTTTAATGAAAGTGCACATCATTGCATGGTTGTGTAATTCAGCGTTTGTAAACATTGGCCAGTAAAAACTTTACAGTCCCTACATTTTAGATCTTCATGAGGGTACTGCTATCTGAAGTGAGGGTTTAGTGCTGAGATAAATTAATTGCCCCTGTGCATACCAAGTGACTTGGCAGGACCTCCTGTATACACATGCCACCCGGGCTGCTACTGCGGAGCGTGGACAAAGTTGCATGTTGTATAGAGGACAGGTTACCTTCTTGTGGTCTTCCCAGTGTCATCTTAAACGTATTTTCTCCAGACTAGAAATAAGCAAGTATATTATTCTTGGCAAAATCTTAGACCTGTAAGACATTACGGAATTCAACTCTGCCATATAAGAGGTTTAAGTGAATAGAAGTTTTGTTTTAGCCAGAAATATCTCTCCGAGTGCATAGTATAGGCCTATTTAAGTTGATTTAGAGTTTAACTTATAAAGTTTTCACTATGTAGTGCTAAAGCTTGATGTAAAATGGGACATTTTATTTCTCTTGCTTGTTCTGTCATACCATAACTTAAGTATCTGGAGTATGTATTTAAAAGGCTTCCCCTCCCCGCCCCCCAAAAGGAGAATACTTTCTGAATTCATACTGTAAGTAAAATTTCTTGGACTTCTCTATATTACAGTGACAGAGGGGGATCCAGAAAATATTTGTATCTTTTCAAAATGACATCAATGAATCCATCCTCTTAAACTTTTTGGTAAACTTGGCACTTTTTATTAGAGCTTAGACTACGAGAGTTAAGGACTTTGCCATTAAAGGACTTTTTCAGGCCATAACTGCTGCCTGTTAAATGATTTGACAATTCTGAATTTCTGAATGTGGTGGGTTTTGTCTAAATGCTGTAAATAGTAGTAACACTGGAGCTATGTTTTCAAGAAGCTTATATAGAAAGAGTTGTTTCCTGGTTCTCATTTTCTTTGCACAGAGCTTAACAATGAGTCTTATAGGTAGATAGCTAGAAGTTGAAAAATAAAAATTTTATTCAGATATGACCCTAAGAACATCATTAAAAAATCATTTAATTGTGATTATCGCCTTTAATAAGTATCTGTGATACATATGCTTAGTAGCTTAAAAGAAATCTACAGTATCATCCTATTTTATGTTACCAACAATTGAACAAAATTATTTTTAAACAGTTGAAGACTTTTTGAGCTCTTTAATTGATTAGAGAAAAAAACTTTATGAAATATCTCTATAATTCTGTCATTTGGGGAAAAATCAAGTAAGAATGAACATAGACTTTTTATTCTTAAGCAGAAGAATTTCAGTCTTTAGTTACAGAAATGAAAAAAAATTTACTCCTGTTTTTATGATAGAGAGGTGTTCTAATTTTTTATTTAATACTTTGAATTAAGTTTCTAGTAGTAATTAGATGACTTGGAGCTAAAATTATTTAATATAGAAACCAAAAAGCTAAGTGCCATTGTTAAGTAAATCACTTACTGCAACATCCTAGAGGAATCATCTTTATGCTGCGAATAATGACTTTAAGAGTCAGTCTGTCTAGGGCTGCACATCTTAATTCATTTTGTCAGCCAACCTCTCCAGTGTTTCTGTTCTGCTATGTGTACTACATCAGTTTTTCTTTTTCATTTTATAGCCTTCTCTTCAGTTCATTTTACCTTTCTTTCATTTTAGTGCCAAGAGAAAAATTTCCCAATCCTATCAGTTTTAGCTAGAGCAATGATACGCATTTAAGCAGAGATGGCAAACTCAGTGCCTCCTGGGCCTATGCAGATGATTCAGTGAAGTTTTTGCATAGTAAACAACTTATTCATTTTCATTAAAAAAAAATGGATCCAGTGTTGCTTAATCCTCCAATTTTTAAAGACAAGCTAGAATCAGTGTTTTTATTTTTAACTTGATTTTTAAATATTTAACAACTAATTCATATAAGAATTTCAGGCAGAAACCTGAAGACCTGGCACCAGCCACCATTTTACAGTTGCAGCAGGGCTGGCAAGTTATGGCCCACGTGTCCAAATGTGACTTGCTGCTTGTTTTTGTATAGGCCATGAGTTTTACACTTAAAATAATTAATTTCTGTCTCTTGCCACAGTTCCCTCACTCAAAAAAGGGGTATAGTTCAGAAAGCAACACTGTCTGCTTATTGAGAATTCAGAGTATGCCATGTGTACTTTTAGAATTTAGATCCTGTCTCTGCAACTTACTGTGATACTTTGAATAGGTTACTTCAACTCTCTGTGTCTGTTTCTCCATCTGCTAAATGGGGAATATGATAATCTGTAAAAAGTTTATCGCAATGCCTGGAACAGAGACTCAGTAGATATTAGCTGCTATTGTTACTACTGCATCTTAAAGATTTCTAGAAGTAGACTTTAGGATTTCAAGTAGAAAATTAATGAAGCAGAGAGAGCAGTTACTAATTTTGTATTGTTTTTGATGGACTAATACCTCAAACCTAATGCTATTTTCAGATGGTATTAGATCCTACTGGCAAAGGTTAATATTGTTACCTGGATCTGATAACAACTTGAACAAGTCAGGAAACCTCACAAGCCTGTTGTCCTCATTTGTAAAATGGTTGTGCCAACCTTACAGTGTTCTTGTGATGGAATTAAGAGCCTCTAGTACATAGAAACTCATTAAATGTTAATGATTTTCCCTTATCCCCATCTATTATAAAGTGCCCCCTTTCCCCCTTCAGCATTCTTATTTTGGAATATTACCTCCTGTGTTACTGTTGTTGCTTATCCCTACTTCGCATACCAGTTACATAACAATATCATTGATGAAGCACACCTCCTCCCCTAAGGTATTCTGGGGAGGATTCGTTCCTGCACATAAAAATCCTTAGCATTCAGTAGCTATGTCCATTTTTGTATAAAAATACATTTCTTATTACATAATAGATGTTGATAGAATTTTATAAATTCAATTTTGGGTTTAACCAAAGTAATACTTAGTTTTAAAATGCAAGTACTAGTCCTGCCCTATCTCCAAGGAACCCACTTTTTAAAAATTGCACTGTAATTATGTACAGTGAAAGGCACAGATTTTGGATGTACAGTTATATAATTTTAAATGTATGCATCTGAACTAACCCAGTCAAGACAGAACATTACCATCGACTCAGAAAGTATTCATGTCCTTTTACAGTCTGTCCTCTCCCCTCAGCGGCAACCACTATTCTAATTTCTATACCTGTAGATTCATTTGAGGCAATTGTGTTCACTCCTTAGCTTCTTCTGGTCTTTTATTGCCAAGGTGGCCACTAGACCTTTCTGCAAATTAGAAAAATGTACCCTCTGTGGTTTTGATGAGCAGAGCATGAGCATAGATGGGATTTTAGTCCCAGTGACCCCCTTGGCCTGGCATCCTTGTACTCATAACAGCCTGCCCAACCATCCATGGTATGGTAATCTTAGCTCTCTAAATTAGTGGTTGTCAGTCTTTTCGGTCTCAGGACCCCTTTGTACTCTTAAAAATTGTTGAGGATCCCAAAGAGTTTTTGATTTATGTGTGTTCTATCTACTGCTATTTACTATATTACACATTCCAACAATGTTTACTAATTTAAAATAATAATAATCCTATAACATGTCAACATAAGTAACATTTTTATAAATAATAAATATTTCCAAATAACCAAGACGTTTTAAGAAGAGTAAGAGGAACACTGTTTTTACATTTTTGCAATACTTTTAACTGAATAACTTAATAGAAGACAGCTGGATTCTCGTATCAGTTTCTGCAGTCAGCCTGTTGTGCTATATCACTCATTTAGCTTCTGGAAAACTCCACTGTACACTGCCCAGAGAAAGAGAATGCGGGGAAAAGTGTCTTATTCTTATATGAGAATAGTTTTGACATTGTGTGTCTCCTGAAAGGGTGTCCCTAGAGCACATTTGGAGATCCCCTGTCCTAAATACTTGTTTATACTGCTGCTTTATGGTTTTTCTTTTCATTTGTGTTTTTGTTTTTTTTTTTTTTTGCAATTTTAGATATTACCTACCGGCTTCCTAGTATGGAAAGTGAATAGTTAGCCTTTTCTGTATATTTACATAGTACATATACAATCTGTTCTCCTGGTTTAGTTATAGTAATTTCTGGTTAAATTGATAGTCTGTGCTTTCATTATAATTGATGTGAAATTTACTTACTTCCTTTCTTGTACAAAACCTTTTTTATTTTCTCTGAATTTGGTAATTGGCTTCTTGGGTCAAGAGGGAAGATTGCTTAATTTTCTGTGTATTGCTAATTCATCCTCAGACTCTCTGACAGCAGTAGAATTGCCTTTCGTGTCTACAGACTTATCAGATAACTTACCAAGTTTCATGTTTTTCTTGGCGATATCCCGCTTGTCATGCTTTAGTCTTTCCACTCAGACTGGTTGTACTGTAGGCATGTTGCTACACAGATGTCCTGTGAGTAAATACTGTCCTGGAATCGAGTTGCCATTGCCTTTATCCTGCATTGGATCTTTAGTTTTATAAATCGAAGAAAAAGTGTCTGAGATCTTTTTTTTTTTTTTAAACCTTACAAGTCTGAGAATCTTTATCCTCACATTTAATTGATAATTTATCTGGGTATAAAATTCTAGGTTAGCAGTAATTTTCTTTCAGCATTTTGATAGCATTACTCCATTATCTTCCAGTCTAATGCCATTCTGGTTCCTGGTTCTTTGAATATGACCATTTTCGTTTTATTTTTCCTCTAGACGCTTGAGATTTTTTTCTTTATGACTTTGGCTTTCAAAATTTTTATTGACATAGTTTGTTCTCTGTCATTTCTATTCTCTGGCTTGAAGTTTATCCCTTTACTATCACTGATAAGCTTTCAGGAGGCAGTAAAGATAACCATTTAACTGGAAATCAATACTAGGACTTTCAACTCAGCTATCTTGATAGCTTTAAGATTTATTAGAATGTTTCCTTTAACACTAAAAATGGGCTTAATGGTAATTAATAATAGGTAATAATGGAAACCACCTGCATTATTATTAGCATTAGTTTAAGGTCAGACAGGATGGCCTAAAAAGAGGCGGCATCTTGTCTCCCTTTTTAATGTTCCAAAATTGTCCTCTTCATGAGTAATTTTAGAGACAACTCACTCCCTACTGACTTTGTGATTTTTCCTTTGTGGCTCTATTACTCTTAACTTTTCTTAGGTTTCATTTTTGTAATGAATATGTTGCTGTTTTCATTGATTTTGAAATGCTTATATGCTGGTGTGCCTGAGTTATTTCCCTTTATTGTTTTTGCTTCATGTGTATATGATTTTAATACTTTTTTGTTACTATCCTTTGTAATTTGATAAATAACAGAGAAACATCCTATTAATTTTGCTAACATGTTAACCATAACAACACTGCTGTTGTAATAGTTAATACATAGTGCTTACTATGAGTGTGGCTCAATTTAAGTGAACCCATTATGATAGCAAAAACCTCTAGAAACTCAGGCTGTGTCGTTCTGGCTGGATATGAGTATTATTCTATTGTTAACATGGTATCACTTCAAGTATTACCAGAGTTAATTTGCCTAACCTGATATTTAGTTAGGTCATTGACCTAATAGCGCCATGATTTTTCTCCCCAAAGATGCACATGGAGTAATATAATATTCAGGCCTTATTCTGTGGTACTGCACAAATAATTTTGCTTAAGTTCTCTGGGCCTCATTATATTTATCTGTAAAATGATGTATTAGAATAAATGACCTCTCATGGTTCTTTCATACAGGATCTTTTCTTTGTGCAAACTATACTGATCACATATTCAGAGGCACCTACTGCATGACCAGACCGTATACTAGGAAGTTAAAAATGGCTGAGCTCCCCAACCTTCAAGAATCCCTTGTGTAGCTGAGAGAGACCAACCAACTATGTAAAACAAATTAATCACAACCTACTGAAATGTCTGTATGTACTTTCACAAGAAAACAGCACTCCTGGCTTCAAGAGAATAAGGAAGCAAGATCACATGACTGCTGAGTACTGTACGAGCATTTGGTGCTAGCCATAGGTTCAAAGCACTTTTTATTTATTCCCTAGAGAGAGACAAGATACCTCTGGTCTCAAGAACTGGAATTATTTTTTCTAGTAGTCATTTTGTAAAACTTTCAAAATTCTAAACTTGATCACAAGATATAACTTTCCACATTTGATTATTTTATGCCTTTAGAAGAATATACTTGGAATTTTCTTGTCAAAAGTTCTGCATTTTAAATAGATCCACTTATATTTGAATACAAATGTGTAATTATCTCGTTGAATGACATTAAAATCCAAGATTTATACAAAAGTGAATCCATAACAGATTAGCTTTTTTCCCTCTAATCTTGACACCTAATTTTATAATGAGGTTATAGAGTAGAGCATTCCTATCATAATTAAAATTTTTAGGAAGACAGTTGATATTCTTATTAGGAACTATATGAACTCATGATGCAGCCAGTGGCAGAAGAAATCTATCTTGACCAATGTATCTATCCCTGGTAAAGTCTATTATTAATAGTAAATAACATTTGTGTATAATGCTGTTGTTTACAAACATCTGCCTGTTAGTGGTAGTCTAGGCTTTTATTCTGACTACCCACTGATGTTAAATCTTACCAACATGAATATGAAAACCTGCTGAAATTTCATAAAGTATTATTCACTAGTACAATTCTTTTCAGTGCAGACTGGATAAACACTATACAGAAATAATGGTCATCTTTTAAAGTATGTAGAGAAAAGAACAGAAATTTTAAGGCATTCCTAAATTAATATTCTGCTATGGACTCTGCTTGTCCCTGATGATGTAAAAGTGATTAAATTACAATCCAGCGCTAAAAAGCATTCACAGCCGGGGTTTTTTTGTTTTGTTTTTAATCTGACCCATTTTTTTTTTTAAACTTAGGCCTGTGCTAATTTTATATGCCAATAATTTGGTTCAGACTTTCAGATTTCGTATTTCTCCCAGTGGTTAGATTGTTTTGCATAATTTTAATTTTTTGTTCCTGTTTTGCTACTTGTGTATCGTAGGATTTGTTAGCAAAAAAGAATGCCAGTGAGAAATCTGTTTTGTAAACACTGTAAGTTTGGGTTAGTTTCTCTTTTTTTAAAATATCTCCCTATTCCAAGTGTAAAATAATGCAGTAACTTTATTATCCATATAATGTAAATCACTTGGAAAACTGCTCCCATTTTTCATTTCAGACACAAGATTTCTCATGTGGACTTGCTCACCACAGTTGAGATAGTAGCAGTCTTACTTGAAAAGTCAAACAAGAAAACAAAATTCAGATTACTGATTTAAATGAGCAAGAGAAAATGTAAGCAAATGTTTGGTGTCTCTATAGATTTTAGCTTCTTAGCCGTAGATTTTTGTATTTTAACAGAATATATTTGGTTAACCAATCAGTGCTCCTAATAATGAACAGATTGCTGGATCATGCCTTTTTGATGCTTCTATGCTGGAGAAAGAAAACTAATGTAGAAGCCAGGTGAATAGGACATGTACCAATGGTAAATGAATGGCACTGGTATTCTACATAATAGTAATCAGTTGGAGGGATCACCTGCGTAACTTTTGTGGTTCAAAGAGTATTGTTAGGAAGACATTTTGGAAATTTTAAAGTAGATCTTCAATGATGACCAAGGTTTTTGTTATTTTTTAATTCTTATTGGAATAGAAAGTGATTTACTTTTCCTCTCCAGGAATGTCTTTTTCAGTTGGCTTTTTCAGTATTCTGCTGGAGATTGCTTTTTATTGACTTCAGCCCCAACAGATACGTATTTCTGCTTACCTTTCCAAGCTAAGTCAGAAATGCGCACTTACTGTTTGCTGTCTGCCAGACGGTGATCTAAATGCTTCATGTGTGTTTCCTCATTTAATCCCCACAATAACCCTTTGAGACAGGTGCTATTATTAATCCATCAATGATGAGGATATTGAGGCAGAGAAGTTACAGTACCACTTTTGTCCATCCATTTCCCATCCTCCAAAATTTTGACATTTCTTGTCTGCTATCACTCTTTTCATCTTTGTCTTTCTTCTCTTTCTTATAGGTTCGTATCATTTTCAGCTTCTTTAGTATCATTTAATGGGGTCTTAGAAAAAATAACTGTCTTTGCCCCTCACAAGTTGGGAAAGGAGAGGAATTCGCATTTACTGGAGCATTAGTTACATACGGAAAATTTCAGCCACCTTAGCTGTACAGTTCTGTTAAGTTTTACAAATATGTATAGTTGTGTAATCACCACAATCAAGATGCAGAATATTTTCCTCACCCAAAGCATTCTTTCATACCATTTTGTAGTCATCCTGTGTCTCATACCTGTCTTGTTTCCGGTTCCTACAGTTTACCTTTTCCAGCACCTCATACAGATGGTATAAATCATCTCGCTCTTCCTGTCCTGGGAACTGGGCGTTGTCTGGAACAGCTCTGTGATTCCTATAGCTCTTGGACTGTGTTTTTCTCTGGACTTGTCTAGTCCCAGCTCCTCCCTGTCACCATTTTTGGTTTACTTAGGCCATTTGTGCTTGGATTTGTTCTTTGTGAGAGAATACCTGTTCTGTCATTTAAAGAATTAAGCTGCTTTATTCACCATATTAATCCAGTCTCTAAAACCCAGAACTCAAAATCCTTTATATGGAGAGTGGTTTAAATTAGGTTCTCAGAAGGAGGCATATCCATTCAGGGCTGGAAATGAAGACCAATGTTCAAAACCAAGCAATGCTGTAGAAAAGAACTTGGTGTATTTGGTTTTTACTAGGGAGAAAATGTTGAGGGAGGAGCTGAGAAACCAGAACATTCATGAGA